TCACACACAAAACACATGTATGCACAAAACACAACAGGCACCTATTCTCGTTGACACCCCTTTACACACACACACTGTACACACATCTTTTCATACATTTCATTTACACACAATTTTGCACTCAGTGTCCACACCTTGCATAAAACAGTCTTGCACCCTGCCAGCCAGACACAGCTGCTGCACTTTGACACTTCCCCCCTAGCTCCTCAGACTCTGCCACTAATGAGGCACTTTCTTATTCACACCCAACATATGCACAACACATCTTGGCTTGTTAGGTTCTTTGTTTTGATTTATTACATCCAACTTTCCTGGAGGAAATGATCCAGAGTAAGCAGCATTAATTTGTGCTTCCCCCTTCCCATCCAACACTGCTGGGATCCAGTGGCCTGTACTTCCAGAGCCAGGTCTGGACCTTATTGAAGGAAGCCGCATGCACTCCCCTTCACATACAGATGTTCCCTTTCACAGATTCTGAAGAAAGATCCCATGCCTTAGCAATGCTCTGCAAGCTAACTATCTGTGCTGGCGAGCACCCTGTCCCCTAGTGAAAAACTGAGGCAGCTCACCTTTGTCCCCTACTGTCCAATATGGGGAAATCACAGCCCTGGTTCTGCACTGAAATGCCACATTCCCTTTTTTTTATGGCTGAAGGTCTCTCAATTCCTGTTACAGGAATTATTATAATGACAATAGTTAGGGACTGGGGGAAAGCTGGCCCTATAATTGCACACCCTATCCATTCTCAGAAGAGTCCTGAGTGAGAAGTTTGCATTTCCAAATCTACTTTCCAGTCGTGCTCATCATTTTCCCCCCCCCCCGCCCCCCAGCACACTCCAGCGCCTCCCCATCCCTGACAAACGTGGGGATTCTTAGAAGTTAACCCTGCTCCTCAAAAGGATGATAACATCTCACAAAGACAGACACTGAGAAACTCAGACAAGGATAGTTTCAAGAAGATCCTGACTGTTACACACCACTCATACATGACTGAAGAAGGGGCCACTTGAAGCAGCAAAACTTTCAATGAGTGTGTAGGTGGAGGACTCCAGGGTGATGGGGCAGATATACACAACAACTGTGTCCTGCAGATAAACAGGGCCACGAGAACCCTGGTGTCATTCCAGAAACAAAGGTGGAATGACTCCAGGGATGAATTCAGTCTCTACCATTTAAATAGGTTATTTCTGGCTGTCAGAGCCCTTCATTCATGCTGCTCTGTTTCCTGTACTTGCTTCCTTTCCACAACTTCTGCACACCACACTCTGTCTATGCACACTTGTGTTTCCCTTAAACTACATACCAGTGCTACCTTTAACTTTAGCCCATTGCACTGGAGCCATTAACCTTCTGTGCAGAGGAACCCCTAGACCTGTGCCCAGGTAACATGCTCCTGAAAATCCAGTGCTAGGAGATCCTACTTACTGAGCTGTTGGTGAGGCGCTCCTGATTTACAGTAGGAATAAATGAAGGGAGGTCTCCGGACTGGGTCTTCCCTGGCACTTCCCAGTCCTCTCCCCCTCCCCGCCCCCCATAGATGTGGCACTTTGGCTTTGCCCCCTACCCTCCAGACATCTCATTCATAGACTAAACCTAACAGTTGCTCATTAGATCTACAGCTACTCTGGCTGTGCTCACCTTTAAATCCAAAGGAACAGAAAACCCCTTTGAGTCAGGAATTCAGCCAGACTGAAATAAAGCAAATCCCATTAGTAAAACCCAATTACAGTGTTGAGAACCCTCAGCAAGGATTACCGAAAGCCTTACTGTACCAATACGAACATGGGGGAATCCCAGGAGGTTTCTTTAATTACTGCCAAGCTCCTCAGCTCATCTTGCTTTGGCTACCTGGATCTGTATCTTAATATGTACCTTCTACCCCACAACAACCTGGGAGTGCATTGGTTTCACAGTGTTGCTCTGATTTAAAGAAGAGCCATTTTCATCCTTTTGAAGCTTGGTATAATGGGGAGAAAAATAGTTTCATTCGCTGATGGCGTAATCCTCTCTGCTACCCTAGGCTATGGCCAAAAATGGTACCCTGGGGCAGGAAATAAAGACATGATCCTAAGTTTTTGCAGTAGCCATTGATTTTTAGGTGCCTCCGTTTTTTGCTGCCCAACTTTAAACAGCTTGGGCCTGATTTTGAGAGGTACTGAGCAACTGCAGTTTCAGTAGCTCACATGTCACTGGTATCATGGGGTGGTAAAATCCAGTCATGGGTGAATCTTAAACATCTCAGAGGGTCGGTTCAAATAAACAGATGGTTCACAAGACCTTCAGCAGATTTAGAATCCCTCCACGCAAACGCTTCCCATGGAAGATCTCCTGTAGGGCGACCATTGGTATTGGAAGACAGTGCCCTGGCTGGTCGTCATTTTTGGGTGGGAAGGGGAGGAGGGATCAGTCAGTGCTCTCATGTTCTCAGAGCCTGGAAATCTAGCCTTCCACAAAATCCAGGTCATTTTAGCACATCACTAAATGGCTTGGTCTCTTGTACATTAAAAACCCTACCAAACAAAACAGGGAGTGTATTTGTCTCTCTCCCAAAGCACTGGTCCTCCACCCCCATACAGCAGCTCACTCTGAAAAAAATACTTTGGAACATGTGGAAACATTCAAAACCCTTGTATAATTAAGCAAGAATTCTCCAGGCAAATAGATCATATTTGCCAATGACTTTTTAGTTTCCCGGTTTGATTATTGTTGTTCAGAATCCTGTCATATTTCTCTATACTGATCATTTGTGACTTTGTCCCCAGTAAACCCCTGTATTGATCTAGCCATACCACTTGTGCTTGGTCTATCTCTGTCTCCCGTTCAGCCACACAATCTCTCTCTCTCGCTTTCTCTCTCTCTGGTCAGAAAGGAAAAGACAGCTGGTGTCTTATATATTTTAGAGGGCTTCCCTCACCCCTCCCATAAGGGATATAGCTACCACTGTATGGTGATCGTACCAATTGCTCCAGGGCTGTTTGCTCCCACTTTTCTGTTGCGGTTGACGACACATGACAAACCTAATCGCACAAAACCAACCCCAGATTTTCTCAAGAGAAGTTCTGCTTGAGAACAGACTCTCTCTGGCATTGCTGCTTCTGATTGGTATATCCCTAATCACTTCCACCCCTTCTTTATTTATAGAAACTGATTCTTTTCCTTCAGCCCCCTCCTTTTTATTTTTTAAAGTTGCAGTTTATTTCTACTACTGAAAGAATTGTCCTTATTACACCCTTTGGAGTAAAAGCATTTCACCCTGATATGCAGCCAATTTAGCTCTCTCCCCCTCTGTGTTCTTTCCAGTCTCTCCTCTCACTTTCTGTATGTCTTCTGCTGCTGGGCCATATCCCCATGATACAGACAAACAGCTGTGCTGGGCAAGGCTGCAGTTACCTGACAGAGGCTCTCCTCCAGAATATCCAGTCAGGATGGCCAGAACTCAGAGACTATGATCCTTAACCTGGGGTTTATGAAAGAAGTCCAGGATGGTCAAAGACGCCTGGTACTGTGGTGATGCATTAACTCCATGCTCACATTGGGGCACTCCAGTGGGGGGATGTTCACAACCCCAAGGATCAAACAAGCCTCTCCAGGGGCCTCATCCTGAGAAGGGCTGAGCACTTGCCATTTCTAGTAAGTTAAGTGGAAGCAGCAGGTGCTCAGAAGTTCTCTGGTTCAGGCCATCAAACACCACTCATTTTCTCTGTGGAGGCTCCTCAGTTACTATTTATTAGTGTGTAGGGTGATCAGATGTCCCAATTTTATAGGGACAGTCCTGATTTTTGGGTCTTTCTCTTATATAAGCTCTTATTACACCCCACCCCGTCCCGATTTTTAACACTTGCTGTCTGGTCATCCTATTAGTGTGAACGGACAGAATTCTGTATCCCTTTTTTCTTTTTCTTTCCTCCTTTCTTCCTATGCTCCTTTTCTCCCTTCCTCCTGTGTGGAACCCCTGAGTGAAGCAGGCAGGGCTGTCAAAGATTCTGAGGTCTGCCACTTCACTGCCTGTTTCATCTTCTGCCTGAATGTTACAGGTGTCTCATTCAGTACTAACATTCAGGCAGCAAGACGAGACTGGGCTCTGAGGAGCTGGCCGAGCTGGGTATCTTTGAACCAAAAAAATAAAAAAATCCCTCCCCCAACCAATCAAAAAATCACCCCAACCTCCCAAAAAGTAGCTGAAATCTGGGCTGGGTGTTCGTGCGGTTAGCTGTTTGCAAGTGGCCATTTTATGATAGGACACAACTGGGGAGGTATATTAACCCTTTCCTCACTTGAATGGACAGTGGTAAATGCACCTGTGCACATTTTTTCAAAGCAATCTGGGCTAACATTAAGGGGAGCGAGAGAGGGTCTGTCCTGGGGAGAGGTGGAAAGGGTTAAATATTGCACCAACCAATGTCGATAGACTGATTTTACAGGTATACTGTGTTGGACAGGTGGTATATTTATGCAATAACTATGAATTAATTCAAATGAAACCAAGTGTAAAGGTTGCCTTTAAACTTCAAGCTTCTTAGAGAAATTGCAGAGGGTTTCAAAAAATAGAAAGGACATTGGGGGGTATGACTTGCATTTTGAGGAAGATTATTTTGTGCCTTAATTACTTGTCAATTTTTTTCCTTTTAATTAATATCAGTTCATGGTCTGAAGCTGTAGATAATCTTAGTTGCATAGGCTTCCTTAAAAAGAAAAGAACTTTCTGTGTCGATATGTGGATATATATGTATATAGGTATATCTCTCTATACAAATGTGTGTATATATATATATACGTGTGTGTGTATGTATATATATATGCATATGTATCTGATATTTCAATAGAATATACTGTACATATACACCCATGCCTGAGCTTGTACAGACTGTATATAAATATAAAATGGCCACATCTCTTTGCGTGTGTCTGTCCCCGGAAGGGTGGACTGATTGTTTTTGGATGTCTGCAGCTGTTACCTTGAAGGATGCAATTTCATCTTTCATTTATTTTTCCCCATCTAGACTGTATCAGGATAAACTGTAACGCCAGTAAGTTTTCCCTCAAGTTTCATTTTGTTCTCTATATATTAAAAAAAGAAATTAACTTTATTTCCTTTGCTAGTTTATAAGCTGTTTTTCTTTTTCTTTCTTTCCTTCTTTTTTCCCCCTTTCTTATTCATTTTTTAAATACAAAAATCAAAGATAGGGTGGGATCTGGGGCTGGGGGAGGAGGGAAGGATTCATGGTAATTGTGTGCAAATGTATTATGTGAGGTTTCTCCCAGGAGAAGATGAACTGTTATTTCATGGCTTTGCAGAAAAGTACCTGGGCATTGGGATGAGCTGAAAATGTGTTTCAGTGGTAACCTGTTGTCTTTTGGGAAATGCCTTTAGAGATATTTAGAGAACACGTAAAAGTAACAACAGGTACTGTATACACTTCTCCACTACTTGAAAAACACCCCTATAATAAAATGTGTTCAGGACACAGTGGTGGCTGCTTAATCTGATATTTCTTCAATACCATTTTTAAGGGGGCTGGTGGGCTTTGGGGGGGGGGAGGGGGGAAGAAGCTCTTAGCATTGGGGTAGCATCTCAGACTCTTATATGAGAATCACCTGCAGGTCACCTCACCAGCTAGGCTTCTTTGACAAATCCTATCTGAGGGACTAACTCTGGGTCCCTTTCAGTCTGTGTGAGACAGAAGGAGGCTTAGGAATGCCATAAAGAGTAATCATTGAAGACCACATCCCAGCCAGAAACTCTGTAGTGCAACAGAGAGAGCCTCTCCTGCCATATTTAAAAAATCAGGAGTTTAGAACTTGTTGAAATACGTATGGGCCTCAGCCCACAAAACATGGGTCTGGATTTTGGAGCCAATCAGCCTCCAAAGTTAGGGGCTGCTGGAAGCAAGGCTTTTGTCCTTAGGCTCATCTCCAATTAAAACAAAATTCCTTTCTGAAGTCGTCGCCCTTCTGTGCTGTGCTGCATGCAGGGGGGTTTATGGAATGCTGAACAAGTTGCTCTAGAGGTACCAGAAGACAAGAAGGCAAAGCTGGCTTGGTGGGTTTTTCTAAACCCTGTTGGCTTTATCCTTTGAGCTATATAGTCTGTCCAGTCTGAGCTAGTGGGAGGCCAGGGAAGGAGCAAATTATGTAGGTCCCTTCATTCAGGCTGAGTTTTCTAACAGCACCAGGAGCTGCGCCAGGAGACACCACTTCAGACTCTGCTCTCTGGAGTGAACAAGTAGTTTGCAGCCAGCAATGAAACCACAGCCAGCAGGAGCAATGGCGATTCTCTCTGGGAATCATTCGCTTTGCTACTTTCCCTTCAGTTGGGACTCTCTGTGCAGGTGCAATGATGGAAACCATACAACATTTGGTTGTTTCGCATATGGTATTGACCCAAACCAAGGGGAGGTGTGCAGATGTAGCAGGGGATGATATACACCTGAGCAGATGGCACACCTGTCTCCCCTCCTGGTCACTGGCAGCTCCCTCACATGTCAGTCTGCAATGGAGCAGGAGTGCACAGAGATGTATGCAGGATGTGGGCTGGCTAGTATCCTCAGTATGCTATGCAGTGTCATGCGGAACTGGCTGGCTCCATGGATCTGAAAGCAGGAGGAACATGGAGCCTTTGTCTGAATTTCCTTTTGAGCTTTTAGGTTAGTTTGAATGTTGTATTCAAGGGGTGCAAAACAAGGCCAGGAAAAATATTCCCTGATTCCCTGCAAAATGAGATTGCCAGTTTCTGTCCAGCACTACTAAGGACATTTGCATAAAAATGGGTTCTTTTGTTTCCTAAGACTTTCCATGCTTCTTGCTACTTATTCCCCCATCCATCCAGGAACTTGTTCCATGCTCATTATTAGTGTGTCCTCTGAGCACCGGTCTCAGAGGTAGCATCTGATGACCTCCCCAGCCCCACCCCTATTTGAGAACAGCTGGTTCCTACAGTGTCACCCAGAAAGGGCTCTGTCTTCAGGTGTGGAATCAGTAGCAGCAGGAGGAGTAAACAAAGATTCTGTTTTCATGCAAATTAATGTCCTTTAGTAATAATAAAAAAGAAAAAGGAAAGAAAGAAAGAGAGAAAAAAAGACAAAAGAAATCAGACAAGCGGTTTGTGTCAGTTTCCCCACCAGCGTCAGCATCTCTCTAAATCATTTTGCTTTCATGAATTTTTAATAGTCTAGACTTTTGCATATTTAAATATGTTATTCTGGCAAAGATTTTATTTATTTATTTTTAAAACAACTTGGATTTTCCTAATTTAGTTTTTATGATTTTCTGCTTTGTTGGTTTTTTTCTTCTTCTTCCTTTTTGCTTTTTTTCAAACCTTTGCTGCACTGCTGGCATGGTGGAAAGACTCAGGCTGTCTGTCTGTCCCAATTACTGGAAGGGAACCATACGGGAACTGACTAGTGGTGAAACTGTATATCCCTGATCTATGTCTAAGTTCAACTTGCTTAGGCAACAGCAAAAGCAAAATCTCATCCTTGTAGGTGCCTGGTGATTTATTCGTGCATGGGGAGTTACACATATGGCTGTGGGTCTCCCAGGTATGGGTCTCCTAGGTTGATTAATATTCTGGGTATGTAGCCTGAATCCCTCCTTGGATTCAGAGTAACATTTCAGAGGTCAGGAGGACATGCGTGTGTGTTGAGGTGAGGACAGGAGTTTAAGGGTGAGGGTGAGTGAGCTCAAGAAATAAGCTTCCTTTCCAGTTGAGGGACCTCAGATTATGCAGTCACCATTGCTAACTGAACACAGGAGACCTGGATCGTGTTTTAAAAGCAAACAGAGCTGTGGTTGGGAGATCCCATGGAATAGTAAAAGTGATATTCTATGATTCTATGATGTGGCCTGGGTATCCTACTAGCATGGTCACAGACAGCACTGCAGCTCATGCTGCCTCCAAGGCTTCCAGCATGCAGTGACAGGTAAGGACTTTGATTCTCATTGCTCTTTCTGTTCATTGAAGGATGGTTTTGGGTTGGGGGAGCTTTTGTGCTACTTTGCTGCATCTGTGGGTTGTTCACATTTCCTGATGATGTCATGTTCTGCCCTCCACCACTCCATTTTTCCTGCTCTGCTTCACTCCCCATCCCTTTCATACCTCCAAATTGTAGGGTGGGTGATTGATCTGGTATCCTGTGTATAGGGGCATGTTCTTCTTTTCATGTATCTATTTTATTTTTAAAAACATTCCCTCACTTCACTCTTGGAAAGACCTCCACTGGCAAAGTCTGAAGTCTAAAGGGCCTGATGCTTATCTCACTTAAATCAGGGGTAATTCCATTAAAGTCTGTAGAGCTACACCAATGGAAGCAAGGTCAGAATCAGTTTCTCAGATCACAGAGTTTGAAGCTGTGTAGAGTGATTTCTCAGCACAGACCTAACAGATGGAACAATTGTGTTGTCTGGCTTTGGAGGAGAGATTCCTGCCTGTCAAATGTCTCTGCTTGTACAAACATAAACTTTTTAAAAAATGAAGGGGGACTGAACTTTGAACATAAGAACACAGGATTTTCCCAAGAGGAACAGCTCTTTTGCCCATCTCCTCTTGTAACCAGCCTCCTGAAGTGGCCAACATACCTATGAGGAAGGTAGGAAAGCCCTTATAATGTTCCTCATCTATTGTGCCATGCTATCCAGTATTTCTTTACCTCTCCAGTGTGCTCTAGTCCTTGCATTCTGCGTCTCTTTTTCGGTGACCATCTCTCATTCCTAGGGGTGTATTCTTCACTGTCCAGCCAAGCTGAAGCCTCAGGAATGGCACTGCATATATTTCAGATATAGTAGCTTTTGGAGTACAGGGTGCAGAAGTCCTCATGTTAGTGACATTTCTGGATTATTTTTTGCTTCCTATTTCCTGGCCTCATTTACATCTCTCCCGCTTTCCCACATTGTGTGTCTGATCACAGACAAGGAGGTGGGTGCTACCAATATAGGAGGCAATAATTTTGAGACAGCAGTCGTCTTTGGTCCAAGGAACACTGCTAGGTTCTCTCTCAACATTTCATAGTGAGGCCTTCACTTCTCACTAGAACATGCAAAGCAAGTCCTTTCCCAAGGGTCCATTTATTTGTGTGGGTCTTGAAGCCTCAGCAACCTATGAGCCTACTTTTTCTTCCATTTCAAGTAGCAGGAACAGAGGGGAGGAAGAGATCTCATAGCTCAGTTGCTACTAGGAGACCCTGTGTTTCTTAGGGGGGCCTCATGGTTGGTTAATTGCTAGGAGTCCAGTTAATTGTGAAGCTACCTCTGACAATAGCAGGTAGCTAAGACATGAGGCCAGCTCTCCCCTTCCAGCTGCAGACTGTGTTGTATTTAGTGCCCTGTTAAATTCCATTTTCCATAATGTCAAAGTTTCATTTTGTTAAGCACCAATGTAGCAACATAAAGCAGGAGCCTATGATAGATGAATCTCTGGGAGATGTTAAGAGCTTTTCTCTCACTGCATTATCATAAACAAATATGCAACCATGCTAACCCAAATCTAATCAAAACATTGTAACACTATGAGCCTTTTTCTATTTTCTTAGGGAATCTGCTGTCATTTTAATAAAAGCTTAATAATGCTCTAACAAGAAAATATTATCTGTAAAATGAGGTGATATGATTAGATGTTCCCATCATATTTGTGACGTTAGTATCTCCTAATGCCAATTTAATGTAATCCAGGAGGAAATTAATGCTAACACAGACTGAGAAATAATGACAAGTCATTAGCATGTTGTACTGTAACATTGCAGCTACTTTTAGGAGCTTTAGTGTCTGAACAGCTTAGCTGGTAGCATTCTCACCTTTGGGCTGGAAGTCATGTATTCAAGTGCCAGTTCAGCCCAATGCTGCCATTGCAGTGTGGGAAGGAAGGCAGGAAGGAAACTGTATTTTTGGATGGTACCTTCTTCAGAGGTCATGTTAAAAAGAGATTCTCTCTGCCATCCTCCGGTGGCATTCCAGGGTTAAATGAAAGATTCCTCTGTGGCAAGGTAACAGGATGTGGATCCTTTTGGCTCTGACTTGCTAATTTGAGTCCCGCCCA